CGTCCCTCGCTGGTGGCTTTGGGTGGCGCTCAGGGTAGGAGAGAAACACTACAGAGGTATCGAGAAGGGCAGAGCGGCGGCTCCGGCGTTAATGGGCTTTGGACTGCAAGAGAGGAGAGGGCGAGGGGTGAGGACGGCGCCTGSGGCTGTCCCCATGTCCCCGTGTCCCCTCCCTGGTCCCCTACAACCCCGCGGAATCTGTCTGTGGAAATTCTCACGGTGCCACCTGGAAGCCCTGGGTGGGGGTGGAGGTGGCACCTGTGTCCTTGGTGTGGTGATGCCGGTGTCCCTGAGGAGGTGGCACCCCTATCCTCACGGAGGTGGCACCTGCACCCACACAGAGGTGGCACCTGCGCCTCCATGGAGGTGTCCTCCGTGTCCCAGAGAGGTGGCAGCAGCATCTCCATGGAGGTGGCCCCCCTGCTCCCACAGAGCTGTCACCCACACTCCCACAGAGGTGGCATCCATGTCCCCATGGAGATGTCCCTGTGTTCCCCGCAGAGGTGGCACCCACATCCCTGCATGGCTGGCAGCAGCACCTCCATGGAAGTGGCACCCACGTCCCCATGGGTCCCCATGGAGATGTCCCTGTGTTCCCCGCAGAGGTGGCACCCACATCCCTGCATGGCTGGCAGCAGCACCTCCATGGAAGTGGCACCCACGTCCCCATGGAGGTGTCCCCTCCATCCCCATGCTGGTGTCCCCCCACTGTGTCCCCTACCTTCAGTGCGCTGCGCTTCTCCTCGAAGGCCGGGGGGCCCCCCGGCTTCTTCCTGCGCACGGAGCACCCCGAGGGGGCGGGCGCCGGGGGCGCCGGGGGCACCGGGGGCGCCCGGCCCTTGCCCGGCCGGCAGTAGGTGGCCGCGTTCTTGCGCCTCTTGGCCTCGGTGGCCGCCACGCAGGTCACCGCCAGCGCCCCGGGGCCGTGGAGCGGCGAGGCTGGCTGCGAGGCCTTCGTCGGCGCCGGAGGAGGAGGAGCGGGATGCCCAGCGGCTCTGCAGTCCAGCGGGCCGGCCCGTTTCACCCGGGAGCCCGGGGACACCGACCCGTTGAGGCAGCAGGAGGGCGAGGACAGCGACGAGGAGGACGAGGAGGAGGAGGATGACGAGCAGGAGGATGATGATGATGAGGATGACGAGGACGATGAGCAGGACGACGAGGAGGGGCTTCCTGGCGAGAGTTTTGTCTTGCCGGGCGGGGGGGAGCCCCGGCAGCCGGCGCCTTGACCCCTGGCCGAGGCCGCCGGGCAGGTCCGTTTGCAGGGCGGGCCGGCGCCCGGCGGCTGCTTCTGCTTGCGGCCGGCCGCGGCCTCCGCCGCCTCCTTGGCCTTGGCCGCCGCGCTGGCCTTGCCGGCGGGCAGCTTGCTGAAGGAGGGCGACGGGACGTTGGCCGGCAAGGGCGACGTGATGGCCTGGCTGCCGCCGCCGGGGCCCTCGGGCTGGCTGCAGGCGGCCGCCGCGGGCGGCGAGGCCCCCGTGCAGCTGAGGCTGGC